GCGAGAACGGGTTGAATATATACATACCTCACCTGTGACAGGTAAAAACATGCTTTTTTTTTAAAGCACCATCTGCTGCACGTAATAGCTACACATCCTATAGTAAATATGTTACGATTCAATTTCAATGTTTCGGATTGCATTGATAAATTGAATTTTAATAGATTTTGATTTATTTTCATTTAGATTTAATTATTTTGTGTGACATTGCATTGGAATTGAGCTGTATTGTTTACCATATAATTCATTTCATAAGTATAAGTATAGATGCCACACCTGTGACAGGTAAAAACAAATTTTTTTTAAGAAACAGCGCCATCTGTTGCACGTAAGAGCAACGCACACAATACTGAATATGTTACAATTCCATTTCAATGTTTCTGATTTTTTTATATATTTAATTTTAATTGATTTCGATTTATTTTCATTTTGATTTAATTATTTTGCGTGACATTGCATTGGAATTTAGCTGTGTTGGTTACCATACAGTTCATTTCGTGTGAATAGTTATTTTTTTTATATTTTCATTTTTTTCATTTCATTTTATAACTTTTTTCTTATATTTGAATGACGGGAACATCAGATCATTTGATGTTCCCAATTTTCTGACGGAAACGTCAGATCATTTGGGAATGCATCGGACGAGGGAGTGGGGAATGGTGGGGAGGACGAGGGGACGAGGGAGTGGGGGATGGTGGGGAGGACGAGGGACGAGGGAGTGGGGAATGGTGGGGAGGACGAGGGACGAGGGAGTGGGGAATGGTGGGGAGGACGAGGGACGAGGGAGTGGGGAATGGTGGGGAGGACGAGGGACGAGGGAGTGGGGAATGGTGGGGAGGACGAGGGGACGAGGGAGTGGGGAATGGTGGGGAGGACGAGGGGACGAGGGAGTAGGAAATGGTGGGGAGGACGAGGGGACGAGGGAGTGGGGAATGGTGGGGAGGACGAGGGGACGAGGGAGTGGGGAATGGTGGGGAGGACGAGGGGACGAGGGAGTAGGAAATGGTGGGGAGGACGAGGGGACGAGGGAGTGGGGAATGGTGGGGAGGACGAGGGGACGAGGGAGTGGGGAATAGTGGGGAGGACGAGGGGATAGAGGAAGGTTGCTGTGGCTGGGTACAGCTCGTAAACAGTAATAAATACCTTCGTCGGCATTTTGACGTTACAACGCTCTGTTTCAAGCCTCTGCAGGCATTCTCAGGCCTTTATTATACTCTACCTCTATTACAATGTCCTCAACAATAGAGCCCCAGCATTATACGTAGCTCTGAGACAAAAGATAACATTACACTTCGTGTTATCGAAGACTTAGCACGGGCTGAAGGAGCTGCATATATCATTACTACGGGCTCACCATAGCCCGTGCTACTTGAAACTTTTTTTTTTTTTTTTTTTTTTTTTTTTGAGATATATACAAGAGTTGTTACATTGTTGTAGAGCCACTAGTACGCGTAGCGTTTCGCGCAAGTCCTTAATCCTATGGTCCCTGGAATACGATCCCCTGCCGCGAAGAATCGTTTTTTCATCCAAGTACACATTTTACTGTTGCGTTAAACAGAAGCTACAGTTAAGGAATTGCGCCCAGTAAATCCTCCCCGGCCAGGATACGAACCCATGACATAGCGCTCGAGGAACGCCAGGCGAGTGTCTTACCACTACACCACGGAGACTGCTTTCTTCCAGGTAGCGACTCTTAAACAACATGCATATATCAGCCCATGACTCCTGATATATTGCAATATATTGCAATCCCCCAGAGTGAAATAAAATTGGGACTAGTGCAGTCACTGCTCCAAACCCATTGTGACAGAAAACTTCTATTTTGCAAGATGAAATGAACTCAATTATAACTTACAATATTGTAATTGAAACCGACATTAAAAGCCTAAATATCAATTCCAAACAACATTGCCACCAACCAAAAAAAAATTCTTAAATGCCCAGGAGGCGATAGACATTTAAAAATAAAATAAAAATACTTTTGGAGTGTATATGCATGAGAGAATGGTTGTTGGTAACGAGGCTGTGGGTTAGTTAGTGAAGTCATTAACTAGCAATGTACCTTAATTGTTGCTCATTGTGCAGATACACTCGAGGCACGATAGATAGATAGACTATCAGCTGGGGACGACTATCTACTGATTTCACTATCTGTTGGATTGTGGGATAGATTATTTATTTTTCAAGCAAACTATCTGCCGGACTAATTACTGGCTGGACTGTCTATCTGCCAGGTTATTTACCCGGCAGATTAACTATCCACGAGGCTAATTATCCACTAGACTACCTATCCATTAAACTTATTATCCGGAAAACTTACTATCCAGCAGACTAGCTATCCGCAAATCTAATTATTCGATAGATTAGTTATTCACCAAACTAATTATCTGCCAGATAAAGTACCCAACAGCCTAATTATCCTAAAGTATATTATTATTATATTATATATATTATATATATTATATATATAATATGTATATTATATATTGTTTTTATAGCCTATTAATTATAAGGGGACAAGGAGAGAATGGGGACTAAATAGGAGAACAAATCTAATTAATAGCATCAATTTAGGAGCGAAGGAAGGGAACTATCAGGGGGAAAGGGCCAAGCCACCACGACTATATAGCACTGGGAAGGGGTCAGGATAAGGATTTGGGATGGGACGGTGGGAAAGGAATGGTGCCCAACCACTTGTGTGGACGGTCTCGGGGGATTGAACGCCGACCTGCATGACGCGAGACCCTCGCTCTACCATCCACCCCAAGTTTTTGGATTTAGGGACAGACGATTCTCTTGTATGATTTAATTTCAAGTCTTGAACTAAATGTATAAATTAGGATTGAATAATTAAAACAGATACACTGTACCTTGATAACGCCCAACCACTTGGGCTGGACGGTAGAGCAACGGTCTCGCGTCATGCAGGTCGGCGTTCAATCCCCCGAGACCGTCCACACAAGTGGTTGGGCACCATTCCTTTCCCGCCGTCCCATCCCAAATCCTTATCCTGACCCCTTCCCAATGCTATATAGTCATAATGGTTTGACGCTTTCCCTTACGGGCTCACCATAGCCCGTGCTACATGGACATTTTGGTCTGAATAGCTAAATCTATAACAATAACAACAATGGCGCTTTCCCCTGATACCCCCCCCCCCCTTGTACCTTGATGAACAAAAAACCCTTGAACAAAAGAGGACACGAGAGATTGTTCACATCAGAGGTGAGACAGAACTTTGGATCCCATTTAGAAGGAGCCGAGACTGGCTCACCTGAGAGGATCTGTCAAGCTGTTTCATAGATATTCACAGACTATATGCACGTACCAAGTGGGGCACGTACACGAACTAGGTTGGGCACGGACACGAACTAGGTTGGGCACGTACACGAACTAGGTTGAGCACGTACACGAACTAGGTTGGGCACGTACACGAACTAGGTTGGGCACGTACAAGAACTAGGTTGGGCACGGACACGAACTAGGTTGGGCACGTACAGGAACTAGGTTGGGCACGTACACGAACTAGGTTGGGCACGTACAAGAACTAGGTTGGGCACGTACACGAATTAGGTTGGGCACGTACACGAACTAGGTTGGGCACGTACACGAATTAGGTTGGGCACGGACACGAACTAGGTTGGGCACGTACACGAACTAGGTTGGGCACGGACACGAACTAGGTTGGGCACGTACACGAACTAGGTTGAGCACGTACACGAACTAGGTTGGGCACGTACACGAACTAGGTTGAACACGTACACGAACTAGGTTGGGCACGTACCCAATCCATCCTCCCGGCATCAAAGGCCTAAACAGTGCACAGCCACCCGACTCACTAACTACCGCCCCAGGCGCCAATCACCTGTCATTACCCGCGCTTGTACCGCATCATGTCATTCAATTGCCCTGCTGAAGACAGCATTTAATTCAATTGAGTGTATTAAGCAGCTGTTGTATTTTATGTTAGCATTGTAATGTACTGTATACGATATAATATATTCCTCTGTATTCATATCGTTAATAATTATTATCAAACGAGACATTTTAATTAATACGGTTTCACCTTGTTTAATATTGAAATTAATTGTTAAGTGGGATGTACAAACTAATTGTGGAGAGAGAGAGAGAGAGAGAGAGAGAGAGAGACAGAGAGAGAGAGGGAGAGAGGGAGAGAGAGAGAGAGAGAGAGAGAGAGAGAGAGAGAGAGAGAGAGAGAGAGAGAGAGAGAGGAGAGAGAGAGAGAGAGAGAGAGAGAAGGAGAGAGAGAGAGAGAGAGAGAGAGCGAGAGAGAGCGAGAGAGAGAGAGAGAGAGAGAGAGAGAGAGAGAGAGAGAGAGAGAGAGAGAGAGAGAGAGAGAGAGAGAGAGAGAGAGAGAGAGAGATACAATACCCAGTGTGACTTCCACTCCTGCCAATTCAGACACACTGGTACCGACACCTACAGCTGTCAATCAAGCGGTGCCCACTGTACCAGTACAGGGGTCAAATCATAACTCAAGTAGTCAATATAGGCCTAGAAGGAGTGGGCGAAGACGTATCCTCCCTACTCAGCGTTCTCGGCCTCCACACCCTCAACAGCAACATAACCATAACCAGGCACTGCATCAACCTCAACAAGACCTTGAACAACAACAACACCGGCCTCCACACCCTCAACAACAACATAACCAGGCACTGCATCACCCACCTCAACACCAGCAACACACTCAGCATTGGTCTCATCACCTGAATTAGTGGCTTAGCTCTGGCAGTCAACCTCCCAGCGTTAAATTAAGCCGCTGCTCTAAATGCAATCGCAGGGGGCATACAGCTGATACCTGTCGAAGTGATCTCAGGTGTAATTACTGCCACCGAACAGGTCATCAACAGGACACTTGTCGTACCAAAAGGGTCCTGGATAGACAGGAACAAATGTTCAGAGACCTTATCTCGGATCAATCTCAGAAATACTCAGACTTGGTGCATACTCTTACTCGTCAGCACCCTTACTATCCATACCCAATCCCTGAAGGTGTCGTTGTGCCTTATTCAGCTCAGCAGATTTACACTCCACCAGCACAGCAGCTACGAAGTCTGCCTCCATACACAGCTGAATTCTCAAACAACTTGCAGAGATGAGGAGTCAATCGATCAGCATATTGTCTGCCAACATCAGGGGCTTCATGACCAATGTTGGCGATCTCACACACAGCTTTGTGAACACTCATCGTCCTGATGTGGTTGTTGTGCTAGAAACATTTCTAGATGACAGGACCCCTGAGAACTTTGCAACAATTGCCGGTTATACCTCATGGTTGCGCCGAGATAGGCAGGGTCAAGGAGGGGGTGTTGCAGTGTGCACCAGCAAATCTGTGTATGCACAACACATTGATGTGGTCATTCCTGGTCATCTTGAAATTATGTTCTTCAAAGTATGCTTAAATCCAGGTACCTCAATTCTCTTATGTGCAATGTACAGACCTCAATGGCAGGGTGCTTCTCCAATCACCTTCCTGATGGACAACCTAGACTCCCTGCTAATGCAGCACAACTGTCAGCACATTATAATTGTAGGTGACCTCAACCAGTATCTTATACAGAGGGATTTTGATGAACTCTTAGCAGTTTTTAACCTTGAAAATTTTGTGGGTTTTCCTACCCACATATCAGGCTCGTCCCTTGATCCTGTCGTAACTGACCTTCCTGCAAATATTGTTAATTGCAGACCTCTGGGATATGTTGGTTCTTCAGACCACCAGGCTGTCTTTACTACACTGGCTATCCCGACAGATCGAGGTGAAGAATCGGTTCGAACTACCTGGCTTTGGGACAGAGGGAACTGGCCAGCCCTACGGTCAGAGCTTGAAGTAACTGATTGGAATGCCTTGCTCCAGGGGGACGTGAACAGCCAAGTAAACGCTCTCACCAGTCATATACTGGACCTCCAGTATAGGCCTATCCCTCACCGGCAGTATGTGACCAAGCCCACTGATCAGCTTGGGTGTGGATATCGCTGCCGGATGGCAGCTGAAGCCAAGAACAAGGCCTGGAGGAGCTTTAAATGGCATCCCTCGGCTCATAACAGAAACTTTCATAGACAATCTTGTCGAATAATGAAAGAAGTTCAAAAGTGGGCTATATCCAGATGGGAATCCCAAACTCGAAGAAAACTTGCATCTGGAAGGGTTGGATCCAAGGTCTGGTGGTCCCTGGTGAAGGATCGGCAGGGGTACTCATCTGAGGACACAATCCCACCTCTAAACAGAGAAGATGGTACTGTGGCAACCAGCAATCAGGAGAAGGCTGATTTACTGGCAACCACTTTGCTTCCAAGATGCAGGTCCCTGATCCTGAACGTCAGCCTTCACATCTTGCCCCATGCACTGTGTCTAGGTTGACTGAAGTGGTTATAAATCAGGCTGAAGTTCTCCATCTCCTTAACACGCTAGACACAAGCAAAGCTGTGGGGCCAGATAAGGTCAGTCCAAGACTACTACGCTGCTGCGCTGACCTGTTGGCTCCACCTCTCACGCGCCTCTTCCAACTGTGCCTAGTTCAAGGTAGGTGGTCCTCCTTATGGAAGAAGGCAGACGTTGTTCCAGTAGACAACAAGAGCCGCTCAGTAGCAGTTAACTACAGACCTGTGGCACTGCTTTCCATTACTGGCAAGATCCTAGAATCATTAATTGTTCAACAAATGATATAATTTTTTTACTATCATCGGCTAATTTGTGATCGACAGTATGGTTTTAGAAAAGGCCGATCTGCTGCTGATCTCTTGGTAAATCTCTCCTCTAAGTGGCATCAGTCACTGGATGAGTCCAAGATCAGCTGTGTTGTTGCTCTAGATATACCAGGAGCCTTTGATCGGGTCTGGCACTCTGGATTACCAGTGAAACTTCAAGCTTTAGGCATTGCAGGCTCCATCTTAGTGTTATTAAAAGACTACCTTCAAGATCGGACTCTAAGGGTGGTCCTCAATGAAGCAGAATCCACTCAATTGGTGGCAGCGTTCCACAGGGTAGTGTGCTGGGCCCTCTGCTGTGGAATGTTTATTTCAACGATCTTCTTCATCTCATTCCTGAAGCTCAAGCCTATGCTGATGACTGTACAGTGACCTTCACATACAGAAAGGAAGAAATGCTAACTGCTGCAAGAATCATTAATCACAAACTTTCAGCAATTTCTACCTGGGGTAGGAGATGGCAGGTCACATTTGCGGCTGAGAAGACTCAAGCGATGATGATAACTAGACTGCACATGGCGAATCGAAAGGAACTGCAAATGGGTGGCAAATCCCTAGAGTTCACAGAAGAATTTGACATCTTGGGAATGACGTTCGACTCTTCAATGACAATGAAGAGTCATGTGATAAACCTAGCTAAAAAGGCAGCCAGGAAACTTACAGCACTACGGCGCATCTCATATCTTCTTGACAGCAAGGGATGCAAAACCTTATATTAAGCTCAAGTTCGCTCCCATCTTGAGTATGTACCCCTTTCCTGGATTGCCTGCCCCCCATCTTTCGTCAGACTGTTGGACAAAGTGAGAAGACGGGCAACTAACGCCAGTTGTGGCCACCAATACACTGAACTAACGCCAGTTGTGGCCACCAATACACTGAACTAACGCCAGTTGTGGCCACCAATACACTGAACTAACGCCAGTTGTGGCCACCAGTACACTGAACTAATGCCAGCTGTGACCACCAGTACACTGAACTAATGCCAGCTGTGACCACCAGTACACTGAACTAATGCCAGCTGTGACCACCAGTACACTGAACTAATGCCAGCTGTGACCACCAGTACACTGAACTAATGCCAGCTGTGACCACCAGTACACTGAACTAATGCCAGCTGTGACCACCAGTACACTGAACTAATGCCAGCTGTGACCACCAGTACACTGAACTAATGCCAGTTGTGACCACCAGTACACTGAACTAACGCCAGTTGTGGCCCCCAATACACTGAACTATTGCCAGTTGTGGCCACCAGTACACTGAACTAATGCCAGTTGTGACCACCAGTACACTGAACTAATGCCAGTTGTGGCCACCAATACACTGAACTATTGCCAGTTGTGGCCACCAATACACTGAACTAACGCCAGTTGTGGTCCCCAATACACTGAACTAACGCCAGTTGTGGTCCCCAATACACTGAACTAACGCCAGTTGTGGCCACCAATACACTGAACTAACGCCAGTTGTGGTCCCCAATACACTGAACTAACGCCAGTTGTGGCCACCAATACACTGAACTAACGCCAGTTGTGGCCACCAATACACTGAACTAACGCCAGTTGTGGTCCCCAATACACTGAACTAACGCCAGTTGTGGCCACCAATACACTGAACTAACGCCAGTTGTGGCCACCAGTACACTGAACTAACGCCAGTTGTGGTCCCCAATACACTGAACTAACGCCAGTTGTGGCCACCAATACACTGAACTAACGCCAGTTGTGGCCACCAGTACACTGAACTAACGCCAGTTGTGGCCACCAGTACACTGAACTAACGCCAGTTGTGGCCACCAGTACACTGAACTAACGCCAGTTGTGGCCACCAGTACACTGAACTAACGCCAGTTGTGGCCACCAATACACTGAACTATTGCCAGTTGTGGCCACCAGTACACTGAACTAACGCCAGTTGTGGCCACCAGTACACTGAACTAATGCCAGTTGTGGCCACCAGTACACTGAACTAACGCCAGTTGTGGTCCCCAGTACACTGAACTAACGCCAGTTCACTTCAACATGTACATAGAAGAATGACTAAGTTAACTTCAGGAATCACACATAGTCTATTGGAATCGAGTTGGAAAATACAGAATATATATTCTCCATTTGAATTGATAAAAAAGGATTGAAAGTTTGGGAAAGTCATGGGTAAATACTGGTTTGGAAATTGCGTTGTAGATTTATGGAACAAGTTACAGAGTAGCCAAATAGGTGTGGTTACAGGGTAGCCAAATAGGTGTGGTTACAGGGTAGCCAAATAGGTATGGTTACAGAGTAGCCAAATAGGTGTGGTTACAAGGTAGCCAAATAGGTGTGGTTACAGGGTAGCCAAATAGGTGTGGTTACAAGGTAGCCAAATAGGTGTGGTTACAGAGTAGCCAAATAGGTGTGGTTACAGGGTAGCCAAATAGGTGTGGTTACAGGGTAGCCAAATAGGTGTGGTTACAAGGTAGCCAAATAGGTGTGGTCACAGGGTAGCCAAATAGGTGTGGTTACAGGGTAGCCAAACTCCACACCCCAGTTGGGTGGGTGTGGAGCACATGACTGTAAAGCTGCCGCCCAGTTGGGTTACTGTAGCCAAATAGGTGTGGTTACAGGAGCACATGACTGTAAAGCTGCCGCCCAGTTGGGTGGTCACAGGAGCACATGACTGTAAAGCTGCCGCCCAGTTGGGTGGGTGTGGAGCACATGACTGTAAAGCTGCCGCCCAGTTGGGTGGGTGTGGAGCACATGACTGTAAAGCTGCCGCCCAGTTGGGTGGGTGTGGAGCACATGACTGTAAAGCTGCCGCCCAGTTGGGTGGGTGTGGAGCAAGACTAGTAACTGTGTGACTCACCATAGATGTAAAGTGCCTTGTATAGTGACTGTTGTGAGCCTCTTGTTGAATCTCTTGGGGATATCAAAAAGATTATCGGTATGTATATGTATTTGTGTAAATTATTGTATATATTTATATATGTACATGTGTATGTAACATTAGCGATTGTGTAACTACTTTCACAAGATTGTCACTTGCTTAGCTAAACGAACTATGGGGTTCAGTTCCTGAACCCATTATGTCTCTGTAAGCCTTTCCATCACCGCCCACGGGATGGGTATGGGGTGCAAAATGAAGAAAGAAAGAAAGAAGCTTCATTCGTTGGTTGAACGGATATGAGTGAGTTTGGTTGAGGGTTAAGGGAAGCTGCTTCGTATCTGCCAAAAGACCTTTATCTTCAGATTATCTTGAGATGATTTCGGGGCCTAGCGTCCTCGCGGCCCGGTCCTCGACCAGGCCTCCTTTTTGTTACACACCCCCAGGAAGCAGCCCGTAGCAGCTGTCTAACTCCCAAGTACCTGTTTACTGCTAGGTGA